CCGCAAATAACCATGTTCGGTGGGGAGGGGGGCCCGGGGCTAGGCAAGGCAACACCAATCGAATGGCCGTGGGTCTAGTCAGTGCCAAGGAAAATTTGGGAACAGTAACGGGAAATCCCCCTGAGTTGGGGGGCCTTCACTGCCAAGCAGTTTTGCCCTTTCCTAGGCTTTGGGAAATATAAAATATATATATAAAAATTATATTAATAATTATAATATTATATATATATATTATATTATATATATATAAAATATATATATATATATTATTTATTATTATTTCACACTGGCCGATTCCCCCCAAGGAGGGGGGCCCCCAAAAAAGAAAAATTTTCCCCATCATTCACCCCATCACTGTTTGCCAGAAGGGTGCTTTACACTACAGTTTTTAAACGCAACATTAACACCCCTCCTTCGGGGCAGGACTGTCCCTTTCCCCTCTCCAGGGCTAAGTCGGCCTGCCCGGGTTTTTTTGAATCCCTTCATAAATGATTTGCTCCACTCCAACGCATCAAGTATAAAAACCATTTTTCTCCATTACTCCCTTTAAAACGTCAAGCATGCCCTGCTGGAAGTCCAAGCCCCGCACACAAAAAACCTCCCTTTACCCCCTCCCCCAAATTCCCCAGGCGACCCCTCCCCGCCTTTCCCTTTCCCCTACAGGATAACTCTTGAAGTTTTCTGTTTCGCTCCATTCTTTACTGTCCGAACCCCCTCAAAAAACCCTTCTCAGCCCTCGGACAACTTTTTTTAATCCCGCACCTTCCTAACTTCCAAAATACGAATTTTGATTTTATTCACACCAACATTTCCCTCAGACATGACAAACTCCGCCTCCCGCCCTTTCCCCGCTGCAACATTTATCACCCATGCTTCACACCCTATAAGAGGTTGGTAAAAATTACTCTCATAATTCCCCCCCTTTGCCTCCAAGGACAAAAATTTTCTGTCTCCACAGATCCTAAGTGCACCCCTCATCTTTTTCCCCCATCAAATTTTTGATTCACCCCTCTTTCTAGACCCATCCGTGACACTCCCCTCCCAATATCGAATAGTTCACCCCCCTCCAAATCTCTCCTCCAATCGTATTCAATCTTTCTACCCAATCTTTTTTTATCCTCATACCTTATCTTTCCTGTATTACCTTTAATTTTTTCTTTTTTCACACCCTACCAAAATTTATCCACCAAATTTTGCCTTTCTTTAGAATCTCCCAAGAGCCAGTGTATCAGCAAAGAGCAGCTGGACAACTCCACCCTGTGTGTGATTCTTTTCTTTTAACCCCCCCTCTTGCCAAAACCCGCAATTTTTTCTCTTTTAACCCCCTCTTAAAAAATATTAAACAACCCCGGGGACATAACATCCTTCTAAGGCTATTTTACGGGGAAAAATTTCCCTCTTTTTAAACTCTTTGAGCCCTCACTTCCTCGTTAAAAAAATCTTCATGCTTTTAGTAACCAACCTCCTACCCAACATTGAAAAATCGCCCATTGCCCCCCATCCACCTGTCATTCGCCTTTTTTTCCCAAAACCCTAAATGCCCCAAAAAACCCCTTTAGCCTTATCTAAAAAGTTCCCTTTTTGCTTCATGTAAAAAACCTGGTCCACACACCCCCCACCTTTTCCCAAAACCTCCCTTTTTCATCTGCTATCAAATTTTCCCAAAAATTTAAAACTTTCAATTATAACTCTCCCTCACTTTACCCGGTAACCCCAAAAGATTATCCCCCATAATTTTTGCACTCTCTTTTTATCCCTTTGCCTTTATACAAAGGAACTATGCATGCTCTCTGCCAATCCCTAGGTACCTTACCCTCTTCCTACATTTATTAAATAATTGCACCAACCACTCCAAAATATATCCCCACCTGCTTTTAACATTTCTATTTTTATCCCATCAATCCCGGCTGCCTTACCCCTTTTTATTTTACCTACTGCCTCACGAACTTTCCCCACACTCACAACTGGCTCTTCCTCACTCCTACAAAAATGTTATTCCTCCTTGCCCTATACAAAAAATTCACAGCTTCCCTATCTTCATCAACATTTAACAATTCCTCAAAATATTCCCTCCATCTTCCCAATCCTCTAACTCTCCATTTAATAACTCTCTCTCCTTTTTTTAACTGACAAATCCATTTGTTCTCTAGGCTTCCTTAACTTGTTAATCTCACTCCAAAACTTTTTCTTATTTTCAACAAAATTTGTTGATAACAGCTCACCCACTCTCTCATTTGCTCTCTTTTTACATTGCTTCACCCCTCTCTTAAATCTCTCTTTTTCTCCATATACTCCCTTTCCCTCCTTGCATCACTTCTACTTTTTAAAAACTTCTCATATGCTAACTTTTTCTCCCTTACTACTCTCTTTAAAATCATCATTCCACCAATCGCTCCTCTTCCCTCCTGCAACCCACTTTCCTGTAACCACAAACTTCTGCTGAACACTTAACACTACATTTTTAAACCTACCCCATTCCTCTTCGACCCATTGCATATGCTCTCATTAGCCCATCTATCCTCCAATAGCTGTTTATATCTTACCCTAACTGACCTCCTCTTTTAGTTTATAAACCTTCACCTCTCTCTTCCCTGATGCTTCTATTTTCCTTGTATCCCATCTACCTTTTACTCTCAGTGTAGCTACAACTAGAAAGTGATCTGATATATCTGTGGCCCCTCGATAAACATGTACATCTGAAGTCTACTCAACAGTCTTTTATTCTACCAATACATAATCCAACAAACTACTGTCATTTCGCCCTACATCATATCGTGTATATTATTTATCCTCTTTTTCTTAAATATGTATTACCTATAACTAAAACCCCTTTCTATACAAAGTTCAATCAAAGGGCTCCATTATCATTTACACCTGGCACCCCAAACTTACCTACCACACCTCTCTAAAAGTTTCTCCTACTTTAGCATCAGGTCCCCTACCACAATTACTCTCTCACTTGGTTTCAAAGGCTCCTATACATTCACTAACATCTCCCAAAATCTCTCTCTCTCCTCTGCATTCCTCTCTTCTCCAGGTGCATACACGCTTATTATGACCCACTTCTCGCAATCCAACTTTAATTCTCGAATTTACACATTCATATTCTCTTTTCTCCTTCCATAACTGATCATTTAGCATTACTGCTACCCTTCCTTTGCTCTAACTCTCTCAGATACTCCAGATTTAATCCCATTTATTTCCCCCACTGAAACTCTCCTACCCCCTTCAGCTTTGTTTCGCTTAGAGCCAGGACATCCAACTTCTTTTCATTCATAACATCAGCAATCATCTGTTTCTTGTCATCCGCACTACATCCACGCACATTTAAACAACCCAGTTTTATAAAGTTTTTTTCTTCTCTTTTTTAGTAAATGTATACAGGAGAAGGGGTTACTAGCCCATTGCTCCGGCATTTTAGTCGCCTCATACGACACGCATGGCTTACGGAGGAAAGATTCTTTTCCACTTCCCCATGGACAATAGAAGAAATAAAAAAGAACAAGAGCTATTTAGAATAAGGAGAAAAACCTAGATGTATGTTATATATATATGCATGTGCGTGTCTGTGAAGTGTGACCAAAGTGTAAGTAGGAGTAGCAAGATATCCCTGTTATCTAGCGTGTTTATGAGACAAAAAAAAGAAAACCAGCAATCCTACCATCATGCAAAACAGTTACAGGTTTTTGTTTCACAGTCATCTGGCAGGACGGTAGTACTTCCCTGGGGGGTTGCTGTCTACCAACCTACTACCTCAATATATATATATATATATATATATATTATATATATATATATATATATATTATATATATATATATATATATATATATTATATATATATATATAATATATTATATACATATATATATACATCTTTTCTTTCTTTAAACACACCGGCCGTATCCCACCGAGGCGGGGTGGGCCCAAAAGGAAAAACGAAAGTTCTCCTTTTACATTTAGTAATATATACAGGAGAAGAGGTTACTAGCCCCTTGCTCCGGCATTTTAGTTGCCTCTTACAACACGCATGGCTTACGGAGGAAGAATTCTGTTCCACTTCCCATGGAGATAAGAGGAAATAAACAAGAATAAGAACTAGAAAGAAAATAGAAGAAAACCCAGAGGGGTGTGTATATATGTGCTTGTACATGTATGTGTAGTGTGACCTAAGTGTAAGTAGAAGTAGCAAGACGTACCTGAAATCTTGCATGTTCATGAGACAGAAAAAAAGGACACCAGCAATCCTACCATCATGTAAAACAATTACAGGCTTTCGTTTTACACTCACTTGGCAGGACGGTAGTACCTCCCTGGGCGGTTGCTGTCTACCAACCTACTACCCAGGGTATATATACATATATGTATATATATATATATATATATATATATATATATATATATATATATATATATATATTATATATATATTATATATATATGTCGTGCCGAATAGGCAGAACTTGCGATCTTGGCTTAAATAGCAACGTTCATCTTGCCATATAGGACAAGTGAAAATTTGTGTATGCAGTAATTTCGCGAAAATCATTCTGAACCTAACGAAAAAATATATTTAATTGTGTTTGTTTATTTTTAAATTATTGTAAACTAATCTAAAATGTATTTACCTGGATTAGGCTAAATTAAATTTCGCTTGTTGTAATAAGGTTGGGTAAGTTTTCTAAGGTTCTCTGCGTACAAAATTATTAAGTTTTACAATAATATATATGAAAAAGTATATCTTCAAACGTATAAGAGAAATTTTTACAAAGGACTTAGTTTTAAATGAGTTCTTGATAATCGGCCAATTTGACCTATCCGGCACGACATATGTATGTGTTTATATTTACACACTGCTTATTCAACAGAATTCGTCCTTGTTTTTCCACATCTCATTCTTCCCCAGTCTTTTCCTTCCACTTCTTACCGTTCATCTTCTCACCTCACACAAAAAAGTCTTTGTACGTTTTCATAATTGATGAAGGTGTCAATATTTAAAATTTCCTTCAGTTAGAAGTAATGATATATTTTAGTTTATTCTACAACAATGATGTGTATACACGACTAGATGGAGAGGCAGTAGGTTATATATTAGTTGTAAATTTACATCAAAATCATTTCTAGATAGTTTGACTTCATAACTGTCAAACTGATTTTTAAATATATATCATACGAAATGTTTTTTTTTTTCAGCATTAAATTCAGATAAGTTTATTTATGAAATATCTAAATGTGCACCAAGTATTATAGTATTTACTATAAAAGAAATTAATGCTACCTCTCCCTACTCTACCTGTTTATTTGTTTTCCTTTCACTTAGGTGGGTAATATTGACAAACAAATCGCTCTATTTTCGAACATGATTCGTCGTTGAGCATTGGTTGCTTCTCGGTGTCCATGTCGGTACAGATTTCATCTCCTCCATAGTTATTGGGTTCACCAGCCGCCCATAGAATGGAATTGATGGGTCTACCGTCCAGCCACGTCCATTCGTTTGATCCTGGGGTGCTGTCCTTGCCTCCCAAGTACACAATTAGATTGCCTGTGTTTTTAGCATCCCGGAATCACATGAAATAAATAGCAATAATAAAGGCACGTAGAGTTTCGTACAAACATTTTTTCAGTTATATAATTCACATACACAATATATATTTCGAAAAAACTTGCTTTAGATCAGTTTGTCACAAACATCAGTTAGTTAACACTATCCAAAAAGTTAAAAATAGAATGGACACACAACAATCACATACCCGTTCGTGGCACTCTTATCACCAGAGAGAACATCAAACATAGGATCTGCATTTACAAAAAACAAAGATATATGGACAGAAACGTGCATTCACGAACAAGTTATTCTTAACAAATAAATTGCACTGGTCAGGAATTGTACCCTGAATGCTTTAAAACGCCACCCTCGTAGGTCGTCGAAATTCACAGTTACACAAGCAGTATCTCAAACGAGAGGAGAATGAAATTAGTCCTCAGCTTGCCACAGCCACGAATATGACTCCATAAGGAGTGACATGTCTAATGTTACTGGACATCTGATGTATGTGACATTGTTGATCAAGGGGTTAAGGGCATCTTGGAATACCGGCAAGAATCGCGAACAAGAGACACAGGATGCAAAACAACCTCAGTGGAATATGCTAAGATTACTTATTCACTTCTGCAGCTTTGCAAGTCCCTGATGTGTTGATTGCAACATGAAAGGCCTAGAGCTATCATTCAACTCCCCCTGTGGTTGTTTTGCATATATAATATATATATATATATATATATATATATATATATATATATATATATATATATATATATATATATATATATATATTATATATATTATATATATATATTTATATATATATATATATAATATATATATATATATATATTATATATATATATATATATATATATATATATTTATTATCACACTGGCCGATTGCCACCAAGGCAGGGTGGCCCGAAAAAGAAAAACTTTCACCATCATTCACTCCATCACTGTCTTGCCAGAAGGGTGCTTTACACTACAGTTTTTAAACTGCAACATTAACACCCCTCCTTCAGAGTGCAGGCACTGTACTTCCCATCTCCAGGACTCAAGTCCGGCCTGCCGGTTTCCGTGAACCCCTTCATAAATGTTACTTTGCTCACACTCCAACAGCACGTCAAGTATTAAAAACCATTTGTCTCCATTCACTCCTATCAAACACGCTCATGCATACCTGCTGGAAGTCCAAGCCCCCCGCACACAAAACCTCCTTTACCCCTCTCTCCAACCTTTCCTAGGCCGACCCCTACCCCGCCTTCCTTCCACTACAGACTGATACACTCTTGAAGTCATTCTGTTTCGCTCCATTCTCTCTACATGTCCGAACCACCTCAACAACCCTTCCTCAGCCCTCTGGACAACAGTTTTGGTAATCCCGCACCTCCTCCTAACTTCCAAACTACGAATTCTCTGCATTATATTCACACCACACATTGCCCTCAGACATGACATCTCCACTGCCTCCAGCCTTCTCCTCGCTACAACATTCATCACCCATGCTTCACACCCATGTAAGAGCGTTGGTAAAACTATACTCTCATACATTCCCCTCTTTGCCTCCAAGGACAAAGTTCTTTGTCTCCACAGACTCGTAAGTGCACCACTCACCCTTTTCCCCCTCATCAATTCTATGATTCACCTCATATTTCATAGACCCATCCGCTGACACATCCACTCCCAAATATCTAAATATATTCACCTCCTCCATACTCTCTCCCTCCAATCTGGTATCCAATCTTTCATCACCTAATATTTTTGTTATCCTCATAACCTTACTCTTTCCTGTATTCACTTTCAATTTTCTTCTTTTGCATACCCTACCAAATTCATCCACCAATCTCTGCAACTTCTCTTCAGAATCTCCCAAGAGCACAGTGTCATTAGCAAATAGCAACTGTGAAAACTCCCACTTTATGTGTGATTCTTTATCTTTTAACTCCATGCCTCTTGCCAAGACCCTCGCATTTACTTCTCTTACAACCCCATCTATAAATATATTAAACAACCACGGTGACATCACAGATCCTTGTCTCAGGCCTACTTTTACTGAAAAATAATTTCCCTTTTTCCTACATACTCTAACTTGAGCCTCACTATCCTCGTAAAAACTCTTCACTACTTTCAGTAACCTACCTCCTACACCATACACCTGCAACATCTGCCACATTGCCCCCCTATCCACCCTGTCATACGCCTTTTCCAAATCCATAAATGACACAAAGACCTCTTTAGCCTTATCTAAATACTGTTATCTAGCGTGTTTATGAAACAGAAAAAGAAACCAGCAATCCTACCATCATGCAAAACAGTTACAGGTTTCTGTTTCACAGTCATCTGGCAAGACGGTAGTACTTCCCTGGGTGGTTGCTGTCTACCAACCTACTACCTACCTATATATATATATATATATATATATAATATATATTATATATATATATATATATATATATATATATATATATATATATAATATATATATGGAAAACAATCATTGTGAAAGAATAGGGAAATTCCAAGCGCTTTTGTGACTACTCACATTATCAAGGAAACAATGAAAGTAGAGCATCAAGAAGGTATATGAAGGGTTTTGGCCCCAACCCCACTATCAG